CCCCAAAACCCCAAAACCCCAAAACCCCAAAACCCCAAAACCCCAAGCCATGAGAGAACGATTGATGCTAATTAAATTTTAAATTAGAGATAAATGTCTCCTTTGAATTTACTACTATTAACTCTGAAAATAATATTAAACTGGCTTGTGACCAACCAGAAGTACCTAGGACCTTCTCTACAGCTCTGTTTGGAAGTTCAGAGAATGGGACAAAGAGGGAAGCAGAGAAATAGACTCAGATTTCAGGATTATTTAGGAACCAGGTGTTCTAGGAAAAAGTAATATTTTCATCAGAAATAGTATTTATGCTGGTTTTAGATGCTCTCAAAGTGAAAAAATTGATTAAAAAGGTAAGTTATATTATTACATCAAATTTACGCTTGATAAGCTCTGTTTTGTTATAAAATTTTGCACTCTCATTTCCATTAGGAAGGAATAACTATTCTAAATGCATTATTCTGTAGCAAAACTAGTCTCCTATAAGCTCAGCTTATGAATCTCTATCCTAAAGCATCCTATACTATTGCTTGAAAGCTAATTATCAAGAATTAATTATCTTGTTTCGTCTTTGGAACCTGAAAAGACGCCTTCTTAAGATTTTTTAAAAGGTGTCTCTTCTGAAACATCTTTGTTTAAATTCCGGCTCTTTGTCTTCTCTCCTGTTCATTTCTGAGATTGACTCTGGAGCTAATGAAGGAGCATTGGGCCTGGAAATTTCCCCAAGTCTCTTCAACACAATGAATCATGCTTCTTTCGTTCTAAATGGGAGAGTTTAGAGTTATTTTATTTGAAAATGTATATAATCCATTTTAAAATATACAAAAATTACAGATTCTTGCAAGCATGCTACTCTGCTTCTCACGAGAGGAGTAAAAACATGTCAAGAATAGCTATTAAGGATGTCTTTAAATATGGTAGATTTTTGGATAACCAATCCGAACTTCTTTCAAAATAAAAGTAAGAGCTTTCTGATCATTTCGAGTAGCTAAGAGTTATTTCTTTCTAATTTACCACCTAAGAGCTTTTATTTGTCGCAAATAAGGCCAAATCAAACCTAACTAGAGGAAGGTTCGTAATAGGAAAAATCAGTTATGTTTAAAATTATTCAAACTTCATATAAATTTAAAAATGTCAAATACTTACTGTTACAAAAAGCGGTAGAGGGTTGAATTCTCCAGGTGAGTACCTCCTGCTTTGCTCTAATTTCATCAAAACTCCTCCAGCATAAGGATAAATGAAGTCACGTGTCGGAATGAGCTCATCGAATTGGATTTTGAATTCATATTGGAGGAAGTCAGAGAAGAGCTGTACAAACTTGTCCATTCTCACTATTTTCTGCTTTACAACTTCAATTCTTTGATTGATCTCTTCTTGAGATAGATCTGACTGAATCACTGAGGCTTCTGTAAGTCCTCTTGTAAGAGCAAATAGGAGGTTAGAGTCTTGGAACTCATAGTTAATTAGTTCCCTAGTCGTAAAAATATTTAAATCCAGTAGTAGCACACAGTAGATAATTCAAAGAGAAATCGCTTGAGGAGAATACTGCAGAGAGTCTACATCAAGTATAATTGTGTCAAGGATCTGAGTGATCTCTTTATACCTCTTGAAAGAAGGATCCCTCATCAATTTGTATAAGTCTTCTGTACTTCCTCAAAGCTTCTCACTCGTTGGGGATCTGTAATTCTTCATGCACTCTAATATTTCTAGAAATTTGAATGAATTTCCTTGATTTCGAGGGCTATGGAAGGTGAGTTTGAGTCAATAATAGTTGCACAATATAGACGCTTTCAATTAATCCATGCTTACTTATTGTTAATCTCCTGAATCTCTTCTGAGTTATCTTGGTATTCAATAAATTTATCCCACTTGGTTCAAATGATGTTTAGCCAGCTTTCCAAAGATCAAGGAGTGAGGTTCCAATTTAGTTCTCTTGCCATCTTCCTTTCCATATTGAGAATCTGAGATTTTGTATACCCGTTATCAGTAGCAAGGATGAAGAAATTTATTTTTGGTACATGAAGTTCTTCCATTTTGCATGCAAGATATAGAGCTGTAGTTCCAACAAGCTGGAAATCTGTTCTCTGAATATTGAGAACTCCTCCAATATATCTATCCAAGTAGTTTACAGCAAGATACATTGTTTCTCTTTGAAGGTTGAACTCAGAGCTGACCTCAATCATCCAATCTAGAAGGAGTGCTCTCATTTTCCAATTGATCATTGGTTGCTGGTTGTCTTCAAGGATTTCTGGGCTTGCTGCATAAATACCCTCCTTCTGCATTCAATAGCGTATTAAATCATGGTCGATTACTCGTCTACTAGTAATAGGGATTCTCTTGGAAGGCTCACCTCTCACAGATTTTGTGACGTAAGCATCGTTTCCATGATGATTATGGCTATTACCTTCATCGATACTGAGCTCCTCTTCACAGACCAGCTCTCCAGAACGTAATGGCCATGATGTAAGGACAGCTTTGTCTGGATTTTCCTTCTCTTCCTCAAACTTTCTCCTCTTGTGAGTTGCGAGAGCCTTCTTCTGGCGATCAGAGACATCTTCTTGATTTGGTTGGCTCTCTTGGGCTAAGTTCAATCCATTTCACGCCTTTGAAGGGTTATAATTGCCATTTGATTTTATCGCGGAAATATTTCCATTTTGGTCATTTGCCTCTGATAATGAAATCTGATGCGGAATATTTTGAGTGTTGAAGTTCTCAGAGTCATTTTGAGTATTCCTCTTCCTTCTGGTCTTGTTTTCTTTCTCAGATTGCAGTCACATATTTACTAATTTATCAAGTTATTTTAGAAACACAAAGATGGAGAAGATACATAAGGGAAAATGGATACTTCAAGGGAAACTGGAGTCTAAAAGTCTCAAGACTAACGGGAATGAAAGGAAAGAGGTTTTGTAGCAGTCAGATTTGGGGTGTGGGATATGAGCTTACCTTTAGCGACAGTGCTTTCATAAATCTCATCCAATGATTCTCTTGAGATTTCGGAAAATTTCTTTTTCTCAGAAATCTTCCTCCCCTGTTCCTTGGACTGAGCTTTCTTAGCTCTCTTCTTCTGTTTGGTCTTTGTCTGAGCTTTATCTTCTGGGTTGTTCACTTCTGATGGATCATGAGAACTCTAAATAATTGATGATCATTAGATTCATTCGCGGGTTTAATTGGAAATGGCTTCTAAAGATTCGTATTGGGACTGGCGCCTTAATCAGGCAATTTTCTATTTAGCAAGGAAATGTACGATATGAATACTATTTCCAATTCGTATCGAACCTCCTCATAAAAAGAGGAGATGTGTCTTTCTGACTGATAAACAAGGTGATAAATTTTCTACTATGATCTCAACAAATTAATGCAGTCGTAATTTTTGAAATATTGGGATACTTATTAAAATCATCACACTTACATCGTGCTTGTCTTTTCATTTGGTTTGTGAGTTGGACTTCTTTTTGTTACAACTACATTCAATGTTAGAGCGGATTTCAGGCAGCAAAAATATACTAAAAATGAGAGAACATTTCCCTGAAAAATTATTGAAATCACTCTGGAATCTGAATAAATGCTCTATGAGTTCACTAAATACCAACCCCTCTTCTCTCTTCCCTCCCCCTCCTCTCACCCACTTCCCCACCAATTCCCTCACAACCCCTATTCCTTATCTCCCCAGTCAAATCCAAATTTGGTCTAACCCAGCCATCCCTCTATAGAAGGGAGGCCTCCCTTCTAGAAGAGACTTACCTTGAGACTGTATTCATCTTTATGGATGTGTTTGAATTTTATGAGATTAGCAATATTTTTTATTGAATATGGGGTTTTGGGGTTTTGGGGTTTTGGGGTTTTGGGGTTTTGGGGTTTTGGGG